TAATGCAAAATTATGGCAAAGTTGGTCCTATGTCATGTGGCAAAATTGAGCAAAATTAAGCAAATGTGGCATTTGCAGATGATTTGCTCCAAATTTGCTATAGAGGTAAATCCGTTTTTTCGTCCAGTGTAGTATCCATATCCTGTAACAGCGTTATAAATGCTGGGCATGAGAAAACATTGTTATTATTATACAGTCAAACTAATTATTCGTTTCTGATTGGCTCAAATCCACAGGCTAATAGCGGAGCTCCTCGCGCGCGCAAAGCGCGCGCGGAGCGGAGCACCATGGGTAAGAAAATTTGGTAAACTATCCATCTGAGAAAATTTGGTTATGACGTAGAGTACGCCCACCCGTACACACACTTCATGTAAGCCGATGTCAAATGTCACAACTTGACACAACACTCTCTTTTGGCGGGAAATTGCGCGTCTGGGCAACCTGCGTTTTGCTTGGCGGGAAATCGCACGACCATCGTTTGAAAGAGAAGTTTCTTTCTTCGTGACTTCGTGTTAGTCACAGCTTGTCATAGCAAAACGAGATTGAAAAACCTTTTTCAGTTATGTCAACAAACGATAATAGAATGAATACAACGTGTAGAAGCCTGGGGTTAAGTGAAGAGCAACGGGAAAGTGAACGGCAGAGAGCAAGACGACAAAGTTTTACTGACGAGCAAAGGGAAAGAGAACGTCAGAGAGCAAGAAATAACAGGCAAAGAGCCAGCCAAGAAGATCGTGAGAGAGAACGAGATAGGGATAGAGAAAGGCGGCGAAACTGGAGTGAACAGCGACGGGAAGCGGAGAGAGTGAGGGATAGAGAGAGACGAAATTGCAGTGAACAACGTCGGGCGGCAGAACGTGTCAGAGCCAGCGAAAACAGACAAAGGAGACGAGAAAGAGAATTACAAGCGCAAAGACTACGACAGCAAAACAACAACATGTCAGCAGAAGGTTAGTGAGCGTCTCATCACAGAGTTCAGAAAGTGGGAAGAGCACCCCTGGGAAGAGCAAAACTTTTTCTGAAACGGGAGGGGTTAACGATAAAAGCTGCCGAAAAAAAAAATAAACATGCCTTCCTGAATGCATGCTGACCCACGTTATATATTTTGAAAGCCCGGTGCCGTTTAAAACAGAATTCAATCTCTTAAGCAGGAATGACACCGGGAATGACGTGACAGCTGTCGAAAGTGTTTTGTGTCGAAAATCTATAATGATGAGTTGTTTTCGTGACTAGATTTGATCTTGAGGTAGCAGAGACAAGTAAAAGGAAACACTTTTGATACTTGTCCAATCAATTGGTCGCGGTCCCCTTTGTAGTCTCGCCCTGATGTTTACATGTAAAGCCGTCAAAACATTATCATTTACAACCAAGCGCGTTTTGCTTTGTCAATGGCTAAAAGGTAAAGTACCGTTTTCCGACCTTCACGTTCGTTTTATAATTCCGTTTAAGAGGGTTTTGAGTGTCAGGTTAATCAATATGATTTGTGATTAATTATGATGTGTCTGCTTTAATTTTAGTGTGTGGAGAACAGCAGCTTTATAGGTGTGATAACGAATGCGCTGAGATATCGACCGTTCAAACAGGCCAGTTGTCCCGTTGTCATACAGGTAATGAATACATCGTATGTTTATCCAGAGTAAAAACGAAATTGTGACGGAGACATTTCTGTTTTGCAGTATTGAAGGCTTTAGATTTCCTGGATTTATGAAACACAATAAGCTTAAATTTAGCAGCGGGCTTGAATTTTTCAGATGTTTTGCGAGTGCCTGGCTGTTGAAAGAGATTTGATGCAGATTGTTTGGATTCAGGCCCTCTATTTCTTTTATTCAGGGTAATTTGAAGGAGGTATTCTCCCTCTTGTAGAGATAACTTTTCTTTTACTGTTTAGGCTTTTCCATTTTGTAGATCTATATGTTCGAGTGTTTAAGAATATGTAAATAAGGAGAAATAAGCCAGCATGAGGTCTCGAAATGATTTTTGAATAGTAGCCGGCCATGTTGACAGGCTCGGCCATATGGTTTCTGACCGGTCAAAATATTACCTGCCAAGCAAATTTTAGTTCGGACCGGTCAAAATACAGTAAAAATTCGCGAGTAAATAGTCTGAAATGTTTGAAGCCGTCAAAACATTACAACCAAGCGCGTTTTGCTTTGTCAATGGCTAAAAGGAGGAAAGTACCGTTGCACAGCCTTCGCGTTCGTTTTACAATTCCGTTTAAGAGGGTTTTGAGTGCCAGGTAAATCAATAGGATTTGTGATTAATTGTGATGTGTCTGATTTGATTTTAGTGTGTGGAGAACAGCAGGTTAGGTGTGATAACGGATGCGCTGAGATATCGACCGTTCAAACAGGCCAGTTGTCCCGTTGTCATACAGGTAATGAATACATCGTATATTTATCCAGAGTAAAAACGACATTGTGAAGGAGACATTTCTCTGATTTCTGTTTTGCAGTATTGAAGGCTTTAGATTTCCTAGATTTATAAAACACAATAAGCTTAAATTTAGCAGCGCGCTTGACTTTTAAGGAGATTTGATGCAGATTGTTTGGATTCAGGCCCTCTGTTCATTTTATTCAGGGTAATTTGAAGGAGGTATTCCCCCTCTTGTTATTGAGATAACTTTTCTTTTACTGTTTAGGCTTTTCCATTTTGTAGATCTATATGTTCGAGTGTTTAAGAATATGTAAATAAGGAGAAATAAGCCAGCATGAGGTCTCGAAATGATTTTTGAATAGTAGCCGGTCATGTTGACAGGCTCGGCCATATGGTTTCTGACCGGTCAAAATATTACCTGCCAAGCAAATTTTAGTTCGGACCGGTCAAAATACAGTAAAAATTCGCGAGTAAATAGTCTGAAATGTTTGAAGCCGTCAAAACATTACAACCAAGCGCGTTTTGCTTTGTCAATGGCTAAAAGGAGGAAAGTACCGTTGCACAGCCTTCGCGTTCGTTTTACAATTCCGTTTAAGAGGGTTTTGAGTGCCAGGTAAATCAATAGGATTTGTGATTAANATATAAAATGGTCAAAAACTCCTTGTGTTACGAGATCGGGAAACATTGAATTTTAAGACAAACATATCATCTTATAAACCTCTTTTGAGTATGGTTATCAAGTTATGAAAGCAACATTTCTTTAAAAACAATGAACTAGCCATGTAAAAGCAGTTATTATAATTTTCAGTGCCTTAATGTTGACGGACCAATCTTGACTCGCTGTAATTTTGAACCTTGAATTCAGGTTTGATAGCTATTCTTGTCCTTGTGGATTAGTTGCTTTTAACTCACTAACAGTACCTATTAACTTAATTAAGTGCCAAATATTTCATTCATCGGGGGGGTAGAGTGTTGTAAATAATATTGCCAGGAATATTGTCAGGCTCATGCAGCTCTTTTATTCTTAAGAACAATTCCCTATAAGAATTAAAGCAGAATTTAAAAATTTAAAAGACTCAGTATTGTTTTGACTTCTATTTCTTTGACCAACAGGTGTATGCATAAGTAATTATGAAGGTGAGGGAAAATTCTTACCCAACTAAACAGTTTTGAAATTTTATTTTCTTAGCCATGGAAGAACATGAAAGTGAGGTCCTCCAAGTTGAATGTGGCATGGAATGCTCTCTGCTAGGTGAACAAGAGCAAAGACATTCAGCAGGTACTCATATTAAGTTGACTATCATTATGGTAGATGCTATTTATAATGAAAGTTAATAATATACATGAAAAATTTTCTTGAATATGATTGGCTTAGAGCAGTTGGCTAATAAACATTAATAGAAAATAAATATCAGAACCAATCGAGTGCCACAATTTGCTGGCGGAAAGCAATAGCATATTTCATTTTACCCTTTTTCGTGTATTCGTGTAATTGATTGTGCTTTGTTGTCTTCCCTAAATAATCTTTCCTTTTTCCTTTAACACTTTTTTCTTTACATTTATTTTATATGAATCCGCGTGATTATTTTTATTTATTTATTTATTGCGGGTTGTGTGTTATGTTATATTTGTAACCAAGATTTTGAAATATATAAATAAAGGTTTGACTGTGTGTGTGTTTGACAAATATGGGAATGTTAAAACTTTCATAAAATTATATATTTTTTAACATGGACTCAAAAAAGCAGCTATATAATTCATTGATTAGGCCTTTTCTCGTGTATTTCAAGTGTTGTTGTTGTGGTGAAAAATAGCCAAATAGAGAAATAGTCAATACATCATGTCTGTGCTTAATTGTCTTGACTGGTTTGTAGACGTTTTTGTTTTGTTTGCATTTGATTGTGCATGTTATGAGAAAACTTACCTTAAATTTGTGTTACTTTGACTTGCACACAGTTAAAATACTCCAAGTTCATAAAAAGATACAGTCGACTCCCGATAATTCGATCCTTCAAGGGAAACAGAAAAAAGTTCGAGTTATCAGGAGTTCAAGTTATCGAGGGTAAAATTATATAGAAAATGTTCTGAAGGGAAATGAAAATTGCTTCGAGTTAGTTTGAGGTTCAAGTTATAGGGGGTTCAAGTTACCAGGAGTCTACTGTATTATGTTTTCTGATTATATTTGTTGATTAATTGATTGGTTGGGTAACTCCGATTATTTTTGATGACTGATTTATGAAATCTCAGTCAATACCACCACTTAGAAAATTATTCTCAAGCCTTGTTGTATTACCAGGTATCTAAAGTTTGAAAAGTATAAATACTGTGTATTTTCTTTTTGAAGTCAGGTTTTGACAACACTTCCACAGATACAGCATATTTGTAAAAATACTAATAATACTTGTACAGCTACATAAGCATGAGTTCTAGGGTGCAAAGTTTTACAGCTTGTCATTTGGGCAGGCTGTACCTTGCATCTACAGCTGTATTAGCCCAGCCCTCACAACTTTATTATGTTTCTCCTGTAATTGAATACCCCCCAAAACTTCACTTATCCTTCAAGCAAGATGAAAAGTAGAATCCACTATCCCCATACCTTATATTAATTAATGTGTAGTTGGTAAATACAAATAATTCATTCACCAGGAGAAGAGTTGGAAAGGGACACTCCTGTAGTAGAAAATGGCCCAATTGAGGGAGCAAGCAATTCACAGGGATCACAGCAACCTCTTCCAGAAGAAAATAATTGTAGCCAGTTAGAAGATGACCGTCTCATTGCTAGAGCAAGGGCAGTTGGTGTGGACTATGAGTTTGCAAAGCCTGGTGTAGTGGAAACAGAGGATGACAGGAGAAAAAGAAAGCGGCGAAACCAAAGACGAATATCAGAACAAGAGAAAAGGTTGCGAGAAGTTGTTGGAGATCTACCGCCACCTCCACCAGCAGGTTCAAGTCAGCAAGAAGATAAGGCGTACAGTGCTATTCGTGCATTTGAGGTGGAGCAGATGACTTACGCATTCAGTTTTTGTGAGGTCTGTAAGGAACGACGACTGGAGTGCAAGGGCACAAGAAACATGTGTACTCGCTGCAGGAGAGATAAGAAGGTACCAAAAGTTTGGTCAGGAGAGAAT